AGGAAAGGTGAGAAGTCGGATCAGAAACGTCCACAAGAAGGAAATACTCGATCGAATTCAGAACCAATACCAACGCCAGTACCAACATTGGAATCCAGGTCAGAACCCCCGTCAGAACCAACATTGGTACCAACATCTCAATCACAGCCTCGACCACAATCACATTCTCAACCGCAATCTCAATCTCAACCCAAAACCATAACCACAGTCACAATCATGCCTCCCAAATCATCTACATCCCAACCACGTTGGACCTCGGACATTCCCAAAACAACCCCGACGGTAATTTCCGATATCGAATCCGCAACTCATAGTATCCATTCTATCTTTCATGACCTCAAAAGCATCACCCCGGAAGATGCAAACACACTTCTCCAACTGTTTTCCTCTCAGATCAAAGGTGTCCAAAATGACAATACTCTCCTTCTTGAAAAGACAGTGAAACTACTAGCGTCTCAACCAGAAGATTCACAAATTGGAAAAAGTCTAACAGCAAGTTTTGTCAATACGCTTTGGGATGCTTTGCCGCATCCACCTGTGAGGAGTTTGGATAAGAAGTTTATGTATAGAGATGCGGATGGAGGAAATAACAACATCTTAATGCCGGAATTGGGAAAAGCGGGGACGGCATATGCAAAGAGTGTTAAACCTGAGAGAATGAGGAAGAAGAATCTACCAGACCCCGGTGAGCTTTTTGATGGGTTGATGAGGAGGGGCGGATTGGATGGAGAAGAGGCTTTCAAGGGAAGTCCGACCGGCACCAGTAGTCAGCTGTTCTATCTGGCTACGATTATTATTCATGATCTTTTTCTTACGGTATGAACAAATATTTCTTGGAATTTGGGTCTCGAAAATTTGAGATATAGATTTAGGACTAACAGAATGGCAATAGGATCATGAAGATATGACGAAATCGAAGACTAGTAGTTATTTGGATCTCGCACCTCTCTATGGTTGTAATCAAGAGGAGCAAAACGCAGTCCGAACATTCGAAGATGGAAAACTAAAACCAGATTGTTTTTCCTCGAAGAGAATCTTAGGATTTCCCCCTGGTGTGGGAGTTTTCTTGATCATGTTCAACCGATTCCACAATCATGTGGTTGGAATGCTTGCTCAGTCAGTACCTCTTCATTTAGTCTTATCCTCTTTGCTGAACATAAAACCTAACTGAAATCTCAGAATTAATGATAATGGCCGCTTCACAAAACCCAAAGCAGAGGCGGCAAAGTCTGCATTCGATAAATACGATAACGATCTCTTCCAGACAGGCAGACTCATCACTTGTGGCTTATATGTCAACATCGTTTTGAAAGATTATGTTCGTACAATTCTAAATCTCAATCGTACAACTTCAAAATGGGATTTAGATCCAAGAGTCTCTGAGACCAAGACCCTCTTGAATAAGCCTGCTGCCGAGGGCGTAGGAAATCAAGTCACTGCTGAATTCAATTTGAGTATGTTTAATCCCCCCTGAAGAGGCAAAACTCCATGATGAATATACTAATTCGGTAAAAAGTCTACCGCTGGCACTCGGCCATCTCCCAAAGAGATGAGAAATGGACCAACGCAGAATACGCCAGATTATTCCCTAACAAAAACCCGGCTGATGTTACGCTTCCTGAACTTCTCAGGGGTCTCCACTCAATGGAAGCAGAGCTTCCTACCGATCCATCTCAACGCTCTTTCGCAGATCTCAATCGTTTGTCTAATGGATCATATGATGACGAATCACTTGTCTCAATTTTCTCATCTTCAGTAGAAGATCTCTCTGGCGCCTTTGGGGCCACAAATGTTCCACCTATCATGCGCTCCATCGAGATCCTATCTATTCTCCAAAGTCGTTCTTGGAATATGTGCACCCTTAATGAATTCCGGTCATTCGTCGGATTGTCGCGTCACACATCGTTTGCGGATATCAACCCCGATCCTGTTATTGCGAAACGACTCAAAGAATTCTATGGAAATCCTGATGATGTGGAATTTTATCCGGGAGTCGTGGTTGAAAAGATTAAACCACCGGTGGTGCCAGGTAGTGGATTGTGCACTGGGTATAGTATCAGTTATAGTATTTTGAGTGATGCGGTAGGGTTGGTCAGGGGAGATAGATTTTATACTACGGATTATACGCCGGAGAGTCTGACTAACTGGGGGTTAGTTTCATCTTCCTTTTATTTCTCTTCCTTCCGTTTGCATTCTCTTCTGTTTTCAAGAAGGTAAAAAAAGTTACTAATGTGATAAAATAGATACAATGAAGTCCAATTCGACACCAATATCGACGACGGTGCTGTGCTTTACAAATTAGTTCTTCGAGCCTTCCCAAACCACTTCCAGGGGAACTCTATATACGCACATTTCCCATTCGTCACACCGGAGACTAATCGTGAAATCCAAAAGGATTTGGGAAGAGAAGGTTTGTATAGTTGGGATAAACCTAAGAAGAAGGCAGATTTGCCAACAGTGGAGGGTTGGGAAGAGTGCAAGAAGATCTTGGATGATAAGGCCAATTGGAAGGTTAGTTTTCCTTTTCAATCTCAATTTTTGGAATTTTAAACTTCTGGGAGGAGTTACTAGAAGGATAAATACTAACTATGGATAAAAGGTAACATGGGGTGCACCAATTGCTGTCCTAACTTCACAATCGCCTTCCGACTCCACAAAGACTACGGGACCGCCAAAAATCCCTCCGTTCTGTCTCGCAGGAGATGAATCTATCAATACTACCTCGCGCTCTCTTATTATATCTTCTTTCCACGATCTTCCAACCGGTCATGGCGACAAGCATGATAAAGAACATCCTGATTGGCAATCCTCAATTGCACAATTTTACACAGACAACACTGCCGATTTGTTTGATAAACATAAAGTTCTTATTCCAAACCTGAACGCATACAGCAATACCAATGGTAACGGAAGTGCCACGAAGAATGGAGCTGCAGCACCCAGAAAAACTTACAGAGTCGACATCGTATCCGACATATGCAATCGCGTCTTCACTCGTTTCGCAGCCGGCGTCTTTGACTTTCCCCTTAAACTCGGGATGGGCAACACTGTCGATGTCAACGTAACTACGGATATTGAAGACGGATATACAGAAGAAGAATTGTACACGGCACTTTCCACTGGTTTCATATGCATTTTCAACAATTTTGATGTCACAAAATCTTTTGTGGTGAATCAGGAAGCAAGAGCTGTGGCTAAGAGGCTGGGCGATATCTTGATGGAGCATACCAATGGAGGTGGGATTGGAGGGGTAGTTGAGGGATTGAAGGATAGATTGCATAGTTTGGTTCATGATGATGAGACGGAGAGACATGCTGAGGAGAAAGTGGAGAAGGAGAAGGCGAAATTGGCGTTGAAGGGGTATGGAAAGGCAATGCTACAGAGATTTGTGGACAAGGGGAAGAAGGCTGGATGGGGAGTTGAGAGGGTAGTTTGGGAACAAATGTTCGTGTTCCTTTTTGTTTCTTTTATTTTCCCTTCTCTCTCATGCTAATTCGCCTACCCATGCCTATATGTTGAATTATCACGCTAACTCATCTACACAGTCTTCCAACATCAGCAGCTATGACGGCAAACCAGTCACAGCTTCTCTCCCAAGTTCTGGACTATTATCTCAGTGATGCCGGATCATCGCATCTACCAAAACTCTACACTGTCGCTCATGAAACTAGCAAAGAGTCTGACGATTTATTGTTGCACTAGTATGTTCTCCTTTCAAATCTTCGTCTCCCCAAAACAACCTCTATCTTCCCCCCCCCCCCCCCCCTCCCAAAAAGAAGAAAAAATAAATATAAACTAACGCCATCCAAAGCTTCCTCGAAGCAGCTCGACTCCGCGGCACGGTCGCTCTCTTCCGCCTCTACTCACCCTCCCAAAACACTCAAACCACCACCACTGCCCACTCCCCCGGAACCGTCGTACTCCTCAACCTCCCCCTCGCCCACCACGACCCCGTCGCCTTCCCCAACCCCGAAACCATCGTCCTCGACCGAAATCTCGACTCCTACCTCATGTTCGGCCACGGCCCACACGAATGTCTCGGTCGCGATATCGCTTTAGCAGGGATGGTACGCGTGTTTCGAATTATCGTCGGGTTGAAAAATCTAAGATTAGATGTCGGGTCGAGCGGGTATAGTAGAAAGAGCACGGCGGGTGAGAGTAGGGGAATGAAAACTGTGGAGACGGAGTTTGGCATGGCGTACTTGGATGATGAGTTGGCGACTTTGGGACCGTTTCCCAAGGGGTTGAGGGTTTGTTGGGATGAGTAGGAGGGAGAGGGAGGAGGAGGGGAGTTTAGTGTGTGATTGGTTGTGGGGGAGTTATTCAAATTTATTTATCTAGGTATCTCTTTCTTTCTTTATTTATTTGTCTACTGGGAAAGGAAGTGAATTGAGACTAGGGTTTATAGTAGTATTAATCATCTAACAGTAATCTGTCGTTAACTTCACTATCGAGTTGTATATCAGGAACACACTGGATTTTTCATCATCATATCTTGTCTCCTCTCCACAGTATCCGCATTACTAAATTCCGTTTCGGATACTTTGTCTCGTACTAATTATTCACTACCTACACATATCATCTCCCGCGTTTTATGGCTCGTGAATTCTGATTTCTTATTCGTGTGGGAAGATGCATCTGCTTGCTTAGCTGTCTATTAATCAAATAGGTATAAGTAGGTAGGTACCTACCTATGTAGCGTCTGTATTTCTTAACATTTTGCCGAGATAAAAATAAAGCAACCGACAATATTTACAGGATTACTCACTAATTTATAAGTTGCTTGTGTTTGTTAATTTTCTGCAGCGGGAGGCGTGATATTGTATCTATATATGTATATATATATCGGGAATAGAGTGGGTAGAGTGTATGCAGTTTATGGAGAGATTGGTTGGGGTGGGAGGGTTGCTGGTGTTGCCGTTTTGTTTCTTGGTGGTGGTGTTTCTTAGTGGTGATAGTGATGGTTGGGATACGAGGATGCGAGGATGCCGGGAGTTGATTTATGAGGTTTTGTTATTACCTAGGTAGTTATTTATTGATTTATTCATATCATCATTATCATCATTATCATCATTATCATCATTATCATCATTATCATCATTATCATCATTATCATCATTATCATCATTATCATCATTATCATCATTATCATCATTATCATCATTATCATCATTATCATCATTATCATCATAACTTTTCCACGTCTTCCTGCTTTAATCATGATAGATCATAGAACTATAGGCACAATTGAAAATCTACAGAATCCAGATGCATCCTTAAGTTCCTCAATATTCACTTCATAGGTCATAACAGCAACAGGGAATCTTAAGTTCGTTTGGATGAGACTAGCTGGTGGTTTTGGAGGATTGTTGTTCTTTTATATTTGGCTTTTTTATACTCGTATAGAGATAGAGTGTTATGGGGTTGAAGGGTTTGAGGGTTTGAGGTTTGAAGGGTATGGGTTTGGGTTTGGGTTTGATTATGAGTGGGATTCTGATTTAATGGGCGAGATGGCACTGTTTATAGATTCTGGAGGAAGGATAATGATTGGTGTATGTGTATTTGTATATGCATATTTTTCAGTTAGAGTGATGTCATTGTGTTGAGATATATAAATACGACATTCAATTCCCAAGAATGGCTTTAGAAATAAGAATGAATTACCATGGGATTGAGCTATCATATTGTGACACTCTTGAAGTTTTCATAGAATCAGAGTTCTTTGTCTTTAGATCTGGAAGAGTGTTCTTTTCCTTTCTAAAGGTTTCATTGGCGAATGAGTGCTGTTGAAGTCATTGTTGACGTTGTCATTGATATGATGTTTAACGATAATGACAGTATTCTAAGACATCTTTTCGTTGCCATTTGTTCGTCAAGAGTATATTGAGAAGATGCATGTACCTATAATGGATCGTCGTTTTAGATGGTACTTTTTGTCGAAGAATATGCAAATGCCAGTTTAAATGATGGAAATATTATTATTTTACTCACCATGGCTGTCCTTCACGTCTTGTTAAGATAGAGTTGATATTTGAAAAAGCTGGTGGTTTTTATACTTGGAAGAGTGAGTGAGATGGATGAAAAGAGAATGAGGTGAGAGTCTGGTATATTCACTCAGTTTGTAGTTTATCGATTGAGTGGAAGCTTATTAGGCGTCAGTTAAGTGAATGTATTGAAGAATCAAGTTTGATTAGTGCCATCTTTTCTCTTTATCGAAGAGGAAAATCTCATTCTGAGGTGATTTTGCTTGCTGATGGGTTTGCTGGGCTTTCGATACCGGTATCTTTGAAATCGGGAGGAGGAGTTTAAGGTCTTTAAGAGAAACTCTCGGGGATATGGCAGGATGAGCAGTGGATCGGGAGAGGGTAAGCGACTCTTTAGCGAGATGAACACCAATCATCCAAGAAATAAGGATGAATTCTTTCCATCGTCAGGTACATACAAAAAGTTAGTATCATTAAACCAACAACTTCTACTTATTTAGGTAGATCAAGTGATTATGACTGTTATTGAAGGAAAGAAAATGTTTCATCGGAAAATAGGATTTGATATCATAGATTCGTTAACATTATATACATTATAAATAGTAGCCAAGCCCATTTTAAACACCATATGGATGACCTCTAAGTAAGAACGCCACCTCCAAACAAATACCGCTATATACATGCGCATCTAAATGCACTTTTAGTCATAATTCATTAAGCGTTACCCATAAAGACTCCCATCCCAATCCTGTGCTCTCGGTGTCCAGTAGTCGACCTCATCTCTAGAATCTCACATTTAATTTCCATCCGCCACCATAACCTCTTGCACATGCCATTGCAACTGCGCTAGAAGCATAGCACAGACCAGTGAACAAGATTAATCCCCAGTAAGCACCCCCGCAGGCCTCAATTAGAGCGCCGGCAATTGGAACACCGGTCAAACATCCAATACTGACAACTGAATAACAAGTTGCATAGTATCTGCCATAATCCTTGGTGTCGCACAATTGGCCTACGCAAACGGGGGTCAAGCCGACGTTGCTACCGCATGCAAATCCAAGTATTATGACGGTGCAAATTAAACCGGCGTAAGTGTTTCCGAAAGGAAGCCAGACGACAAAACAGGCGAATACGGTAAGAGAGAGTGCCATAATAATAGTGTTGAAACGGCCAATCATATCAGCTACCAAGCCCGGGAGGAAACGGCCGACAACAGATGCAGCAGATAGGATAGACAGAGATTGATAGGAAATTCCTGCATCAAATCCTTGATAAAGAGCGTAAGATGTAATATAAGTGACTGGAATGAAAAAACCCCATTCAAGGAGATAGACACCCAATACCGTGAAAGCGAAATCTGGCTTCTTGAAGATTTTGATATCTGGATGAGGACTTTGAGCAGTTTGGGAACGTGGGAGACGAGGTTTAATGAGGAGGTTGGCTAGAGCGGTGATGAAAACGAAGATGAAACCCATTACACGCATTGTCCATGAGAACTAGATTGAGATCTCTTAGTGATGCTCTGTGTTGAATGGAGAAGTTTGGAGAATGTATACTTACACCAATCTTTGGAATGAGATTTTCTAAGAGAAGTGGGAAAACAATGCCACCAACAGCACCACCAGTAGCTGCAATTCCAGTGGCATTTCCACGCTTCTTATTGAACCAGTGGCCAATTACTGCGACTGACGGAGTAAAGGTCAGCGAACTTGCAAAACCACCAAGTATGCTGAATACGGCAATCCAATGCCAGTACTCTGGGAACAGTTAGCTTTGCACGATCTTGCTTCTTGGATTCAAAAACTTACCAGTACACTCCCCAAAGAGGAAGATGGAAAGGACGAGTAAAATGCTTCCTGGCAGAACCAAATATCTTGGTCCATAAACGTCGAATGCAGGACCAATGTAAATGCCGCCAACGAACAAAATGAATGAGTATAATGAGAAGATCCATCCAATTTGAGAATCAGAATAAGACGCCAACTGATTCGTAGCTAGGTAGGCTTGGAATGAACCTGTGGAATTTGCAATACCGAAACTACAAAACATGCCACACCATGACCCAAAGACAACTAGCCAAGCTTGCAATCCGCCCTCGGGGTACTTATAATCATCCTCAGAATCCGAATCAGATTCATCTATTAGTGGATCAGGGAGTGAAGTAACAGTAACAACGACTGTTTTCTCTTTCTCTAAGCCGTGAGCTCCGGTTAAGGAGCCCTCGTTTGCATTCTTTTCAAGATCGATTGTTGAAGTGGAGTTTTCGTTGACCTGGGATTGGTCCATGATATGCGGGTTGAGATGTTTGAGGGATTGTGTCCTTATCGTTGTATCTGATGCGAAAACTCTGTGCCTAGCAACAGATATAACGTTTTAACAATCAAACGCGAATGGGGAGAAAAGGGTACAAGATCCAAGAGAGTAGTAAGAAGTATGGGGCTAACTGTGATGCTGAGAGACTTCCTATGTGATTTTGATGAGGATGTGATGATTTACTGTAAAATACAAAGGAAATAACGACTTCATATATGAAATTTGCGCCAGGGTGCTTCAGCTTCAGTGAGGATACTTTCTGGTTGTCAATGCCCAACGTTACCACTCAGCTTGACTGAACGCCATCCCTTTCGAGATCTAGCCCTCTTCCCCAGAGCCGACAGCAAATATGCTCTTGGTGTGTGATCACTACAAAGCTCCATTATGGCACACACTAATAACTTCACGATGCTAGCTTGCGATGGTAATACACTCAAAAAGTCTTGCCAACTCAAAATCTGGAACAAAACCCGCAGTGCCGACGCAGTACTTCGAACGCTCTGGAGCATAACGTTGGGCTTATGTCACTCGTGATACTCAAGAATAACGAAAACAGTAGACGAAATTGCGCAAAGGAGAATAAAATTTGAAGAAAAAAAGAAATAATTCTCCACCATTTTGCGGTCAACGGGGAACCTTTACTAGCTCACCGTGAAGCTTGAACTTGTCAGGTTTTGCGGGGCGGAAAAGGTTTCCAAATTTGGAAAAACAATGCGGATTTCAATAGATCACCTCCATTTCAACGATACCGACGGTATCCATTTTCTCACAGACAAAGTCAAAAATATGATGTGAAAATACTGATGTGCTGGAGGTGACAAATGAATCGTTACTTGACAATGGAAAGATTGTGAAGGGGTAAAATAAAAGAGAATGATTTGGCGACGCAAACGAGAGTTAGCGTGGAAATTCTCGGCAGAAGTTTCTCCGAAGAACCTTTTCCATAATCTCCACCTTCACCTCAACTCCCTCCCTCCATCCTCATCTTCATTTTTCACTCTCAATCACGAATTCACTCAGCGCTCCAAAGTCTTCGCAACCTTAAGAGCATCTGTTCAATAAAATCTATGAACGTGTCGATCCCCTCTCATGATCTCGATCAAAGCGTCATTTCCCTGAATGTCTCGTATACCAACGTGTTTGATAAATTACCACACCGAGGAACAACGTTCTCAATGCAGTACCTCGAGTACATGCAGGGACTATGTGTATTTGTTCTAGAATGATTCGATTGGGCTGGAAAGCTTCTTTGCAGATGAATTTGGAAGCTATTAGCAAACAGAAATTAAAAAGTCCATCTTATGAAGCGCTTAAGATGGATCCGGGTCGTGCACAAAGCGTTCTTCTTGTGGGGATAATTGACATCCCGGTTGTCATCAACACGGTTGGATCCGAGATGTCTGTCTTCTCCACTTGTTCCACTTAGCTCTGGGCACATCTATCACTTGAATGCGAATCCAAAGTCTGAATATGCTCACATGGCATGCAAATGTCCCTATCGGTGTAGCATTACCTACCAGTGTAAGGTTAAAGTGCTTAGTATAGTGGAGAGCTTTTTTTTTTACCAGCAGAAATCTATATCAACCGGCAGGCGACCTAAACCTTAAGAAAAAATATGCAAGAAAATGGACGTTCTTTTTTTCATGGTTTGCTACAGCCTACAGGTACGGAGAAAGCGGACTGGTACCTGGTCAGTTCCCATCTATACTTCGGGGCCATAAGTCCCAACTGCAAATCCACAATTTTCATAGCTCACTTGCACATCTATATATATATACTGAAGCTTGGGCCAGGCAAAGTTGCAGACTCACGCTATCCACGGAAAGAACCCAAGCTCTGAAACGTTAGAAATAAACAGGGTATCTCAAAGTTAGATGGTGGCATGTGCTGTCTAGTCTCCGGTACATGAACAGTGCCATCAGTCCTACTTAGTATTTTGGATGTGAGTAGTTGAAGTAAAATGTTGATGAAGAAGATATCGTCCATATCTAAAGGCCTCTAGAAACCTGGCCTAAAGTTTAGTGAGCGTCGTAACACTGTAGATGACGAGCTGTGTGACTCTTAGAATATGGGAATCATTTCTAGTATTCTCAATCGTGCGAAAATCTCTTGATTCTGTATTCCTGCCAGCCCTATGCCTTTCAACAATTTCATGAATGAAACCCCTTTATTCGCCAATTCGAATTTCGTGAAATTCGTTGTATCTCCAAATGAAGATGATTTAGGACAAAGAGGCACCGGCACGAGATGTGCTATCAGTCAAAGAACAATAACCCTTTGAGTGGAATTATCACCATGGAGAACGATGAAAGTTTTATTTTCCAAATGTACTTCTTTTGTCCGTCTTTATACCCGCAAAGTATGGTGATATCAATAATCGAATTCAATAACAATGGAAAATTCAACAAAATTCAGCGAGTACGAAAGTAACCGAGCGAAACTGGTCGCCGATGAACAGAAGTATAGAGGGGGTGAGTCTTCCGTTCGTTTTTCAACCCAAATATGGCAGACTAACGTTGTAGACTATGGGTTTGTTAAATCTCTTTCGCCTACAGCCCAAGCCGCCAATACTATAGTTTCTCGCATTCAACAATTCAACCGGCAGGTTCTTTTTAATCCATTTGAGTCAATGAGTCCCTTACGTTCAGACTCTGGCTTCCCCTGCATCAAAGAATCCATGGCAAGGACAGCTTTATTAGAGATAATGAAAAAGTTACCAAAGGGAGCAATTCTTCACGCCCACCACGCTGCTTGCGTTTCGATTGATTTTATCATTGAGAAAATGATCGAGACCCCGGGCATGTATATCAGCGCTTCAAGGCCCCTTGACGAATGGTGGGCAAAAGAGAGAAGAGAATAAAAATAAAATTCACATACAGTTCTTCGCAACCTCGACAGACTAGAAGCTCAGTGAATAATATTTGGGATCCTGATTACATACCCAACTCACTTGTTCCAGTCTCTCTTGCGGCGTCTACATACTGCGATTACCCTTCCACTGCGAACTATGACAAATATCGTATCGCACCTGGTTTTGAAAGACAACCTCTTCAGGGCAAGTCTTACTTTATCACCTGGTAGGGATGCGAAGACTCAACACCTGTACGCGGTGCATCCTACGAACCTCCAGCTCTCTCTTGAGAGTCTGCAGAGCTAAGATTGAGTCGCAGATGGAATTGGAAGAATTGGAAGGAGAGTGGTTCAGAGATATAGCGAAGGATTATATTACGATTTTACGACAGCAATACCTACGAAGAGTTGAATACCAGCTTTAGACGCGGATACGAAGGTTACGGAAGCCCCGGTTAGATTCAACATCTACCATCGATTACTATTTCAAGTACAGAATATGATACGCAGTAGGTCTCTTCTTTTAGAAGAGTCTTTTCGATATAGAGCTTGCCGCCGCTCTACTCGTACTACAACCCTTTTTTATACCCTTTGGCTTTCAGCCACTCGAATACTACGACGACACAATACAGAGAATGCCATCGCCTTCAAATTAATACCATGCTCTGGGCATCGATACAATACAACGTTTTTCTTTTAATTTTCGAATTTTCGAATTTTCCGAATTGATTTGTGTGTGGGCAATAGGGCTTAGGATTCGGCCCTGCCCCACTATTTTCAACAGTTTCGACTATACACATCTAATAAGAGCTGGAGGATATCAAGCTTATGAAGATATACAAGGGGCTAGTTTAAAAGAGATAAAGACAGAGAAGAGTGGTGCCTTCTTCTGCTACCTCACTAGCAAGAGGACCCTTTGCTATATTGGAGGCAACTCGGGAGGGGATAACTCTTGCCTTTTATAGAAAGGGAGGGATAGCAAATTGGATTTAGGATTTTAAAAAGAGAAATTGGATATTGGGATGCTTTAATTGGATTAGGGGTAGGGGAAGAGTGAGGAAGGAAGTGTCTCAGAGGATGAAGACTATTTAATCTCTATTTGCACTCCGAATAGAGATCGGGCATAGCACCCCAGCATTCGTTTTTACTCCCCCAAATTGAATATATCTACTGTAGATATCCACTAGCAGTTGTTAGGTTCTTAAAGCCTAGCCGTCCTAAATAGTCTTGGACTGAGAAAAGGACGTTAATTAAATCAATCAATTTATCACCTGGTTGAGGATTCGATTAACGAAGACGGAGTCCCAGCTTCCATATGTCAGTGGAAGTATCAACGAAGCTTGTAATACATTCCAGAGTGGGAAAAAGCTACTTGATACGATAATTCACAACGAGCCAATTTTCCGACCATTACTCAAGCGAATTTTTGAAGGGTTGGACGAGTATAACGTTAAGTGGATAGAGATTAGGATGGTTTTCAAAGTTGAATTTCGATTAGAGTGGAGTGATAAACCATCTGGAGAGGTTGAAATGGCAAGAGTAATCTGGGAAGAAAGAGAAAAGTTTGCAATCGCGATGAAAAAGAAAAATAAAGAATGGTGGGGACTGCGGATTATCTGGACAGGCCTGAGACCGTGGAAAGATGAAGAAATCAAAGCCGGTATTTTTCCCTTATACGTATCTCTGGGAAAAGCTGACTCCATTTAATAGACATGGAGGCTTGCATGCGTGTGAAGGAACGATATCCAGATCTGATCTCAGGATACGATCTAGAGGGACAAGAAAAACTCGGTCGTACGCTCGAAGATCTCGTACCTATTTGCCTCTGGTTTAAGAAACAATGCGAAAGCCGCAACTTAAACATTCCATTCTTCTTGCATGCAGGAGAATGCTTGGGTAATGGTGATGTAAATGACCATAACCTTTAGTAAGTATGCTTGAACCCTATTTCATGCTCTTGAATGCTGATAGTTGGCTGTTTAGCGATGCCATTCTTCTAGGTACTCGACGTATTGGTCATGGATATTCACTTCCTAGGCATCCGCTGCTGGAAAAGATTTGTAAAGAGCGACAAATTATGATCGAGTCCTGTCCACTCTCAGATGAAAGTTTGAGATTAACAAATTCTGCTAATGCTCATACTCTACCAATGCTGTTGGCAAAAGGTGTAAGTGCTAGTTTGAATTGTGATGACCCGTTTTTATTAGGTCAAGAAATGATAGGCGTTTCAATAGAATTCTCCATGTGCATCTGGTCATGGGATAATCTAGATCTGGGTGGTCTGGTATGTGTACTTCCTCTATGGATCGATTTTATCATTATGAAAGAGCCTGCAAGCTAATTTATGATAAAAGGGTCATCTGGCGCAAAACAGCGTGAGGTGGTCACAATTTGAAGATCAGACTGACGAAGATTGGCAATCGGGAATCCGATCAGGTGAGAAGTCAAGGAAAGGATTAAAAGCTCAGAGAATGCGAGAGTGGAAGAAAGACTGGGGAGAATTTTGTGCTTGGGTTGTTGAAAGATACGGAGAGCCTTGGGGAAACGAAGATGCTTTCAAGGCTACTTTGGAAGAGAGAGCGGAATTGGTGGAGCAAAATATGGCAGATGAAGATGCGGTAGAAAAAGAACTTGATAGAATAGCAGCCCGGTTCAAGGAAAAAGAAGAGTCGATAAGAGAATGGAGAAAGAAAGAGATAAAGAGAAGGCAGTTCATTACTAAAGCGAAGGAACTGATGGCCGAGGAAAAGTTACAGAAAAATATGTCAAAAGGCTTGAAGGAACCTCCTGATAGTCCTGATAAGACTCCAAAGATGGTGTTGAAGAAGCTACCAAAGATTTAGAACTGGATCTCGGAAGCAATTTCGAGATTTATTACCGCTCGAGGTATCAAGGAGATTCTAGATATAAATCTAGAACAGCAAAGAAGACTGATCAAAGCTATGTGTATTCAAGTTCTCGATTATTATGTCAAAGATAAGAAATAGTACCAGATCACACTGCTAGCTTCTGTGATATATATCACTGTATGATGTATAATTAAAAAGGGATACAATGTTAGTCAGGAGTTCCAACAATGAAAATGAATGTTCTTGCACCACTCGACTATGGAAAGTGGGAGATGACTAAAGTTAGGGTAATCGGAATACATCCTTTACTCCATCTGGGCAAGTTTCAATATAGCAATAAGTAGCTAAGTCTTAGGGAAGGAACGGGCCGAAATTTTAGCTTCCTCATTCAGGTTCCGGTACTTATCATTGCGGGGCAATGTTGGCTGTTATCGTTGAGATGATCCACACAATTCGATTTCCAAAGCCATACTTTAAAATTGAGAGACTTTCATTTGATATAGGTAAGGCAAACTTCGATAACGATATCATTCGATTCCGTAAGTAGATCCATGTAAGTGAAATTTCATTGTATTTAAAGTCCTGTCAGTCTTTGAGCTGTTTCAATATTCAAGGAACAGACAGTTTCAAAGAATTGTGGCCTCTGTACTTAACAACATTCAAAAAAAGCTCTTCAGTCTAGACTAGGAACTTCCACAATCTTTAATTTACTACTGTAGATAAAGTTCTTCATCACCTGATGTAGATCTGGCACGATGGATGCCCAGACTGTCCCCGTTCCGCCGTCACTGATCTTGCAACAATCGAGCAACGAAGAACCAGCTTCCACCCCGAGCGAGGATGCTCTCAAGAAAAGAGGTAGACCGCTCAAAAGCGTTGTTACAGCTGCCTCTACTTCTGAAACAATCCATGAGACAGAACATTTTAAAGCTCAGGATGGAGGAGAATATGTTCCTATGAGTGCAGATTCGACAATTGCGCCAGCCGATGGTACGAGGCGCAGCGGAAGATCGAGAAAAGCTACACTTTCGTATCAAGAGCAACTTGAGTCAGATGGAGAGCAGCCCGTCGCAAAGCGTCAGAAGAAGAGAAATGTCACGTATGATGACGATGACGACCAGGATCCTAGTAATCGTATCGTTCCACCAGGAGAACCTGCGACGCCTAAGAAAAAGAGAGCCCCTTCATCTTCTCCAAGGAAAGCAGCAACACCCAAGGCAAAAGGCGTCAAGGTCAGAACCGAATATACATCCGACCCTTCTGCTGTATTCATCGAAGCCCTCGTCGCCGATGCTTCAAGTGATAGCATGGTGGGATTTACTCGCAATGGATCAGGCCAATTAGCATATCATGGAGAACCAAATGAAGGTGATTCAAAGATAAAGTGGTGGCTCAATCCTCGGATCAGTCCCTACACTGGCAAATACATGATGGTGCCACCAACGTTGATGCAAAAGAAATGGCGTGCATATTGCGCTTTCCAAAAGTTGGAAACTTCTGGAAAACCTGCGGAGATGCAAGAACGACTTAGAGATTATATCAAGGCTAAAGAAGCTCAGATGTATTCAGAGTCTTCAAGTTCATCTGAAGGCTTTGTAGTTCATTTGGTTATGGCACCTCAAGTCAGCACATCTCAACGTGAGTGACAACAACGTAATGAGGCTGAAAGAACCAAATTATGGGAGGCATTGCCAATAGAACAAAGGCTCCAAGCGGATATTATACGTGTTCTTAAAGAGACTGTACTTGCTAAAAACTCTGTTCAGGATGTCTGGAATTTCAGAATTTGCTTGAAAGTTCCAACCAAAAAATGGTTGGAAGTATCGGAAGCTCTGGAGTGCAGTGACATTGGTTTTATTTTCACAACTTATCCGCAACAGCCAGACGGTCGCCCAGCTGATACAAGATATCAGAGAGGTATTATAGATGGGGTTTCTTGGCCGTCAGACGAAGCATTTGACTTGAAGGATCGTATATTTCTGGGAGGAACGTGGGCCGGCAGTGGATTTGAGAAAGGAATCATTTTTGGAAGAACTCGAGCTGTGGTAAAGCAGAAAGTTGAAGAAATGTGTGAACAGATTGGATATGAAATTGTTAAGGGTTATGTCAAAAAGATCAGAGACTCGGAGACAGAAGGAAGTGGTAGGTACCGTTCGTGTTTATTTTTTATTGATCAAATATTCACCATGGAATTAGATATCCCTCCACAACAACATTCACCTACTCTCTCAGATGATACCACCTCATCACAGAGTGAAGAAGATTGGACGGAAGAGGAAGAGGAAATTGCTCAAGCCGCCTGGGATCATGATGAATCCAAAAAGAGGACACTCAATCTCGAGACATATACTTATCGACTGGGAGAGCTTTGCTCTTTCATGGTTGAAGATCCTTTTGTCGACGACGGCCGATACACATATGATTCCGATGGAGAATTGGTGGATGATGCGCCATATACCTAGTATTGACAGTTATGTGCTTAGGGTTCATCCATCTTCTCTGCTTAATGTACATCCAGAGATGAGTAAATTCTACCATTGAATACTTCGGGTGTAATTAATGAATAATTGGTGGATGCATATTCAGAACAAAGTGGAGGACTTTTTATCATAGGATAGAATATCTAGTTAACATCTGTCTTTGATGATTGGCGAGGGGATTCCTATTAATTTCATAGTTTACTGCAAATTAGCCAAATACATCAAACCCGTGCCTTCAGCGCAACCTATGTACTCAGCGTCCAAATCTCCTGACTTCAAAATACACAGCTCCACAAACAATACCGACTTTCCCTTTTCCAACTGACCCCCAGGTCCATAAAGATTCATAACCGTCTTTCTCAATTCCACATGACTCTTATGCGAACGACCTGCTTGCTCAAAATGCGACAGATCCAAGAAATATGCAAGTTGGTTTGTCTCTGCGATAGCTTCGGTATCAAGCTCTAAATCTCCTTTGGCATCAAATTTTTCATTCACAATCTCCGGGGTGGGGTTCTCGTGGCCTATGTGTGTGGTAAATGCCACTACGCCATTCTTGTTGCGTTCAGTGTCGAGATGAGATATCCAGGATTGAGCATGTGGATTTATTTTCTTGAGCCAGGCTTCTGTTTCTGCGGGTGGGATATTTGACTGGCGTTGTCCTTCACGGACAAATATGAGATTATCGGGTGGGCTGGAGATGGTTACTCTGCCTAATTTTATTTTGGAGCTACGGATTTTAGGTATGTCGATGGTTTTCCTCGTGTCGTTTGGTTTTGCTTTGGTGGTAGTAATATAAGCAGAGGTAAATGTATCTTTAGGATCGGTGTGTGAATCTGGCGTTTTGGATATTCGATGACGGTATACGCCCCAGTATCCTTCGTCGGAACTTTGTTTTAGGGGAAGAAGAGTGCCCATTGCTGAGGCGACGGGTTGACTTGAGGCGAACATGAAGCGCGATTTCGGGACGGTCATTACTTCGCGCCAGACACCTGCGTCTGGAGGGAGAGAATTCCAGAATTCTTGAACTGGAGAGGAGGCTTGAAATGATTGGTAGGAGGAAGAGGACAACCAATAAGCGATAAAAGTTGTGGATTTGGGTCCATGACGAGGAAGTCCGTGGCTTTCGTCTTGAAGATGGTCGACACGGTTGGCAGACGAAGAGAGCAATTTGTACAGGGTGGATACAAAAATTGCTTTTTCTGGCGTAAGTTCTTCGTGTTGGACGCCAAAAATCCCATAGGTAAAGATGTAGTCTTTTCCGTCCATATCAAGAAGAAACACCATGATGGGCAATGTTTATGAGGCTAATAGTACCTAGTGAATAATGGCGCGAAAATTCATACTTGTCTCCAGAAATCATGCAAAATCTTGACTTTTGAGCATTTGAGAAAGTACTAACATGAAAGCAGTAACCTTACGGAAGGATCTGAAAGATTTTTTATAATGCATTTTACTATGCCTGGGGAAAATTTGCCCATGCATGGGTGCCCCTTAATTTCAGCATGGCTGGCTCTTATCTTCATGTTGCGGATGTAGTATCCGCCCGAACGACATAGTTGTGAATTGACGATGACATCAAATATATGGTAAGACTATGTTCAGATAATCTGGAGCCACTTGGCTGCGGAGATAGGCTACTGAGATTGTCCGATATTGAATCTTTGAAACAAATCGCTTTAAAATACGGCAATTTTGTAATAACCGTTTTTTTGTATGCAGGAGATTAGAATTCAAAGAAGTTGTCCAGAATATGTACGGTATGTTAGTCCTAGGAAGTTGCCGGTACGCTTCTACACTATTGATGTCTAACTAACCACGTTTTGCATAGCTCAAGAGCTCAGACCATAAGTTTATTACTACCTATTACCTGTTGACAATGACAACGACCTGAAAAGTTGCAACAGCAAGTGATATACATACCTTGGTACCGGGAACCAGCTTTCAATGTGAATCTTTCTGTATCTCAGTACCAAGAGAAAGGTCTCCATCAATCATTAACCTTGTCGACCGCGGAAACAATTCCATTGCGGATTACAAATGTAAGGTCCACCAGTGGGGAGAAGACAATGACATTCTCACATGCATGTCATATCGTTTACTAACAGCATGCATTTAGCTTATTGTCCTATGTAGCATATTTCAACTTGCAAGAAGACTATCAAACGTGCGGGTTCATGTTGTGTGTCTCCGCAGTCATGGAATCCGTGGCTTCCAATGAGCAAACACGTCTACGAATCAAAGTTGCTTGTGAAGAATGTCGAAAGAATAAACGAAAGGTATCTATTGACACCATAATATGACCTAGAATACTCCGTAGAATTGTATACTAATTGTGATTAGTGCCAAGGCCAGAGACCAACATGTGCTTTATGTGAGAAAGGAGGGAAGCTGTGCTATTACCCCCCAGAGACCTCACGAAAGTATGTTCTCAGTTGACCGAATCAGTCCACACCACCAGCTTAACTAATGCTTACAGACGTAAACATCGTGATGACAGCTATGTCCGTAGTCTCGAAGACAAAGTGAAAGCTTTGGAGGCCCAGTTGGCAAATTACCAAAGTTCGGAGCCTCAATCTCAACACAATGAAGAATATATGGGCCATGAGATCTTGCCTGTACGCAGTCCTGCTACCACGAGTTCTCTTACTTATGAGTCTGAGGCCATAACCCCAGAGAGCATTGATGAGCCCAATGATCCGCGCTCGCAGGTTGCAATGAAGGAGCTTGCTTCATTGATGTTAACCATGGATATCGAGGAGAAAGGTGAACCGTCATTTACCATCCCAAGGAACAAGTCCTCCTCTAGACAAAATTCTGTTTCAAACGAGAACTTGAATCCTGATACTAGCAGTCATGATACAGACTTAGGCAAGATTGGATTCTACACAGAAACACGAACGCATCTCGTTGAATGTTTCATGGCTGCATTCAATATTTATCATCAATTTATAGAACAAGGAGAGCTTCAAACCATTCTATTGGAGACCACATTCTCAACAGAGCTGGATTTTGACTTTCGTAATCATGCTTTACTTTCCGTGGGTGCCTTTCTTTCTCCAAAGTCGGATGCAAAGAAGTTGAGTATTCACCATGCCACGTCTGCTGAGAACATCCTATTGAGATGTATACGGGAGCATCCGAGTGACTTGGTTGTTCAAGGACTTGCATTGTTATCGTGGCGAGAGTTGATGCTGGAGAATAATAGCATGGCCTACACTTACATAGGTATATCTTCTCTCATATTTTGCTCAAACATTTATTGATAGAATTATGGCAGCTATGGCCACAGGCTTGATATTGCATCTTGGGCTTCATGTGAGTAACCTCGGACCAGGGAAGTTGCCAGACTTGACTTTGAATCGCAATTCCACGGTCGATGACTATGTTCGTAAACGCCGAATAAGGTCATTTTGGGCTTATTTTTCGGTGGATCGGTAAGTCTATCTGTACGCGGACTACGATGTATAATGTGATAACTCATGTGTGTAGCATGGTAAGCTCAAGTCTCGGGATGAATTGCACCATACACTGGCAACGCATTCGAATATCCTCATTCTTCAGCGTCTTGGATCATAACCCGTCACCTGATGAATTAGCTCATGATAAGTTCTGCCAGCTATGGCATCTTTGGGACTCTTTCATGGACCAAAGGTAGGTTCTCGTATCACAACTAAAGAACAATGAACTCACATTATTAATTAGGTATGCGTTCGAGTGGACCGGTTTGAAAGCCAAGCAACGACAAAATCTTTTGAAGCGCGCGCATCAAGCACTCACAGATTTCTATGTCGGTACCGATGATAAGCTAGCTCTGAGTAAGACTTGCATGCCTCAAACTTTCCTTCTTTTCCAGTTGGCATATCACACTGCAATATTGCTCATTCATCGTCCCTTTTTAAATGAGCCTAAAGGCTCGGAAACTCTGAGCTTTGCTTTGAGATCAGCGACAAACGCCGCTGCCTCGATAGCTCGAATTGTTCGAGCATATCGAAAACTTCGTGGTTTCGCTGATGCCAATCCTCAAGTCATAGATTACATCCTTAGTGCTGCCGTAATACATTTATTGAATGCAACTTCTGGTCGCAACTTTCTAGGGAGGCAATCTGCCAATAGCCTGCAAAGTTGCTTGGATGCTCTAGTCGAGATGCAGACTACGTGGATGCCACAAGCAAGCAGAGCGATACAGGAAATCCAAGAGCTTGCAGCCAAATGGAAAGTAGTCTGGGCATTACCATTAAAATTCAGCCAGCGCCTACCAGAAAAGGAAATTCGTCAAGACTGCAGTCGAATTATGGTACCGATGCAAGAATTTTCAAATGTCCTTACTGGTGGCGCTCAAATACCCCATGGATTTGAGATAGGTGAAGTTGCGAACAGGTACATATATACTGGTTTCAATAATGACTGCGTGGATCCAAGCTTGTTTGAAAATGCTTTGGAGCATGTCAATCTACCTGAACATATTGCGTATCAATCAAGTCTTGAGTGGCTTTTCGACGAAAGCAATCCTGGTCTGCAGTAGTAGTCGAGGAGATGTTAAAGACAAGAGAATTCCCGAAATTTGACCATCAGTCGGAAGATGGAGGTAGTCGTCAATTGTGCTTGCACCTGAGTACAATTTGCTTCTCCAAGGAGAATGTAAATATTCAGGCGGAATTAGTACCGCGAAATCTTTATTTTTAACGGTATGTCAGCAACCAAGTCACTGTCTTATCGGCCGGCGGGGGCTTCATCCGCAAGATAAGAGCTATCAAATGCGGGGAAAGCCATGTAGTATCTTACTGTACTTTGAAATTTCTCTTTTTGGGTATTCATGCACAACACCTGCGTTACCTGATATAATCTCACCAAAATCATGGAGTTTCGGGATATCACAGGTTGCATATTTGGAATACATAAGAACAAAGCGAATGCTCACTGTGGTGTTCACTTTGTTCATCTTACAATTTCTCTACCAACAATTTTCATAATTCCACTAAAAACATGACTATCTCTACTTCCACGAAATATCGCGTAGCTGTTACTCAGCATGAGCCGGAATGGTTTGATTTGCAGAAGTCGGTGGAAAAAACATGTCGAATTATCACAGAGGCTGCAGAGAATGGTGCGCAGTTAGTTACATTTGCAGAAGCATTTATTCCAGGCTATCCTGCTTGGATATGGTGAGAAACTCTAATATCTAAAACCCTATTCTGTCTCCAATACCAACCGAACAGCAGGACTCGCCCAGTCGACCCAATTCTCTCTACCACATACATTAAGAACTCCCTAGTCATCGATTCTGATGAGATGAGATCGATCCAAGACTGTGCCGCGAAACATGGAATCGTCGTCTCTTTAGGATTCTCCGAAAACGATAATAACTCATTGTACATTGCGCAAGCTATCATCGATGGCGATGGAACGATAGTCATGAAAAGAAGGAAGCTAAAGGCCACGCATATGGAGCGTACAATTTTTGGAGACTCCTCTGGAAACAGTCTTATGAATGTTGCTTCGACTCGCGTTGGAAAGGTTGGAACTCTAGCGTGCTGGGAACATTGTCAACCCTTGTTGAAATATCATACTTTACATCAAAGGGAGCAAATTCATTGCTCGGCATGGCCACCAATTGTCAATCATACTGGTGGACCTGAGTTATGGTCAATGTCTCGGGAAGGTAAAGAAATACAATTCTCTCAACTGCAGGATGTCACTAACACGCATCTTCCAGGATGTCAAGCCCTTTCCCAAGTATATGCCATTGAATCTCAAACCTTTGTTCTTCATACCACCACTGTCATTACAGAAAAAGGAGTTAATGCCAATTCTTCAGAAGGAGGATTGTTGATGTCCGCGCCAGGAGGTGGTGCTTCGGTTATTATTGGCCCTGATGGCCGGGTTATGTCGACGCCTCTCGATTCTAGAACTGAGGGAATTGTGTATGGAGATATTGATCTTGATCAAGCGCTATTTGCACGAAGTTTCTTGGATGTCTGTGGACACTACAGTCGGCCGGATCTTTTATGGCTTGGATGCGATACTCGTGAACGTAAATTGAGGGTCGAAGAGAAGCTTGAAGTTACCGAGAAGTGCTGAATTTTGCTGCACTGTTCTTTATGAAGCATCTTCACAAATGATTAGTGAATGTTTATTTATGGGTACTGCTAATTGATTCGGTTTATGATGATGTGATTTCCTATCCAATGCTAATCTGCAGGCTCTTTTGAATCCTGTATACTTGCAAGAGGAACCGGGCATGTCGAGGCTAAAATTAGATGACTACAAAATTGTGGGAGTTCGCCTCAAGTTCCCCATATTCATCTCAAAATTTCGACTGTCTTAGCAAGTTGAGATGACTTCAGCTGGTGGGGAATTAAGGAGTGGGAGAAGTTTACGGAGTGATCAAGTAGGTTATTTCTGGGCGCTGTAAACCCTTGAAAAATGCTTAGTGAACGCTGAAGATCTAGGGCTCTTAGGTATCGAGCTTTGAATCTGGCGATCCGTGCTTATTAATAATTTGCGAGGGGCTGAGCGTGACATTTTTATATTAAACATCTTCTTTCTCCTCACCACTAACCCTCATATAATATTTATCACCAACCAATAATATGAGGACAGCCAGATGTTTTGCGAGAGACTAATTGTTTGCCACATATGAACTGGATCAATGAGATAATCTATTGAGCTTCTCAGCTCACATTTTGCACTCGTCCTGCTGTCATCTCTCGCGGTTTCGAAACCTCCAAAAGTAATTAGATGCTTCACGAGGCATAGGTCTATCCATCACTTGATTACCGCAACAGGACAGCTGAGGTTCCAAATGGCGGAATGATATATCTGAAAGGCTCTTGAGCATGCAGAGCAATATATACAGCTGCGCATATCAAGATCGAAAAGCCACTTTCGATGATGTCTATTTATCTGGTATAGGTTATATCTCGCCATTGGTTTACGGCTTCTCGAATCCCGGCTAATCTTTTCCCACATAGAGGCTCGTTGTAGTCTTAACATGTATTATTCCAAGCCAAACTCCTCTCTTACCGAGATTCTGAATATTTTGCGCTCGCTGCTGTGTTCAAGTGGCGCTGACCATATACTGTGGCCATCCATTGGCGGTTGCTGGAATATATGCAGATGCATCGTAATAACGTCGGGTTCATGACACGGGTTGCTATAACCCCGCTCCCTCTTGTTTACTTTGAGGGATCCAATGATGAAGAGGTACCTAGCCTAGTATGTCAACCGACTTTTGGCTCCGCTAATTATACCTCATTATCTTCATATAAGTAGCTGTTTATTTTCAATCTTTCATCATTTTTTTGTGTCTTTTTTGGTCCATTGACCATCGAGCCAAACACTCCCTCCCGATGGCAGCACAAACCCCCACTGAAACTACCCCGCTGCTCAACCCACCACCAGAACCCCAATCCGAAATCCTCTATCCCAGTGGCGATACCTCAACTACCAATTTTGCTGTCCCAGACGATCCCTCTACACTCTACGTATGGATCCTCATGATCGGACCCTTCCTTTCCGCCTTCGTAGCAGCTGTTGATTCCTCCATGATTGCTACACTCTCATCACCCATAACTTCCTCATTTGGTTCATTGTCTCATCTTCCCTGGCTTGCTTCTGCATATTTCATAGCCAATGCTGCAGTTCAGCCTTGGTCAGGAAAACTTACTGATATTTATGGGAGACGGAGCGGACTTGTACTTGCGAACATTGTGTTTGCCTGTGGGAATTACATGTGCGCAAGTGCGAAAACGGAATGGGTGTTGATTGCCGGTAGAGTTGTAGCAGGGCTAGGAGGTGGAGGAATTATGGCCATTGCAACTTTTCTCTTGTCTGATTTAGTGCCTCTGAGAGATAGAGGTATGTGGCAAGGCATTGGAAATATGATATTGGGCGTAGGATCCGGTATAGGTGGTGTACTTGGAGGATGGATAAATGACTCTCTAGATTGGAGAGCTACATTTTTATTGCAGATTCCCATCACGCTGTTGGCTACGATATGGACATGGTTCACTATACGTATACCCACCGTAGATGATGGGGAGGGGAAATCAAAGCTCAAACGGATTGATTACTTGGGTTCAATCAGTTTATTTACAACGCTCGTCACGTTACTCCTTGGTATGAGTGCCGGAGGTAACACAGTATCGTGGACCAGTTCCATCGTTCTAATCAGTCTTCCTCTATCCTTAATATCCCTCCTGGTTTTCATCACCACCGAACTCAAATACGCCAAAGAGCCAATTATACCACTTCCGCTTCTCTGCGATCTATCTGTTGCAGGCGGCTGTCTCACAAATGCTTTCTCCTCCGCCTCCCGCTTTGCGATGATATTCTATCTCCCCCTCTTCCTCGAAGCCCAGGGCTACACCGCCACAAAAATTGGTCTCCGTCTCATTCCCGGTTCAATCGGCACAGCCATCGCCTCTATGACTGCTGGAATCATAGTGAAAAGTACTGGGAGATTTTACAAACTCGGTATCGCATCCCAGGTCATCTATATTCTGGGAATGGCGTTTATCTGTACATTTACATTACGGACATCTGTCTGGCCCCCCTTTGTCTGTTTTTTCATTATTAATATTGGATATGGAATTACGCTTACTACGACTATTCTCGCGCTTTTGTCGTCGGTGAAAGCGAAAGATCAGGCGGTTATCACATCCGCACTTTTTGCCTTTCGCTCAACCGGAACGGTATTGGGAATTTCAGCAGCGGGACTTACGTTTCAAAATGTGCTGGGCAAATTGTTATGGGAGAAACTGGGGGGTATAGATAATGCAGCAGAACGCATCCAACAAATTATCGATGATTTCAGGGTAGTTGATGGTCTTGAGGAAGGTTTGAAAGAATTGGCTCTGCAGGCTTATATGGGCGCTGTAAGAGCTGTTTTCTTTCTTATGTTGGCATTGGGAGGATTAGCTTTGGTGTTTACGTTGTTGATTAGGGATCGGGAATTGTCTCAGAGGATGGTACGATGATTGGCTTCTTGCGTTTTGAATTTGATTGGACTATTGAAATTACCTGAAAATTAACGTTGACTCAGACACTGGAAATCTCATTTAATTCATCCTTTCAGAATACCAGACGACAGCAGTCTATCCTTGTTTATGAAAGTTAGAATCAATGTATCAACAGCTTATTACAACCTGGTGTAACTGCGGGTTAAGCATCATTAAAACTCAAGTCTGAGACCACAGATCACTAAATCCACAGATCTGAGATTCTCTTCCAAATTTCCAATAGTATCCACATGGTCCATAGTCCCGTCTCTCGTAGCAATCAAGGTAGCCAGAACAACATTCTTTCAACATACCCAAACTACCAACTCTCAAAGGCAGGATCTCTATACCATCCAACACGCCCATTAAATATATCTATCTCCCCAAAATTTCCACACCACATATTGAAATCAGGTCGCTGTAGATAACAAGCATACGGCACATTAGCCAAATTTCGAACATTAGAAGTCATATGCCGTACTTCTTAAGCCCACAATTCTCATTTGCATGGCGAGCATTTTAA